AACAGGATGAATAGAGTGCACATCATGGCCCATCATGCAGGTATATGCATCTGGAAGGACGGGTCTTCGACAATGTCTCTTCACTCATATATAGATATCCGCGAATGCCCCTAGATAATGTCAGCACTTATCAAAGAGGCTTCTCCGGTCACTGAAACCTTTGTGATTCTCATTCCAGTCTACTGCATCTCTCGTCGCATATCTCATAGCTCGCCCTCCCTACGGAATTTCACCCCTCGTCCAGAACATCGACGTTCTTGGAACTGTTGCGCCTTACCCAACAGCATGTTCAAACTCTCCAACGAAGCTATCATTGCACTCGTCACCCTCGTCACTGGATGCCCTCCATCTATCCTCGTCATCTGGCACCTGATCAGGCGTAGGCGTTGCGTCAATTCGGACCAAAACGAACGCGGTAGGTCTTACCATATTCCCTTATGGTGTGGGCAACATGTTAATAGTCTGACAGCGGATCAACACGACCTCGTTCGTCTACCAGCCCAAATCTTTATCGAGCATGTGAACCTGCTCGTCTCGCAGCCCGGCCTCGCCTACTTACCCGATCGATCCCAAGCTCTCAATGCTGTGCACGCGCAAGTTGGGCAAAGCGCTTCTCGGGAGATATCGGATACAAGTCGCTGATGGTACGTCTGAAGACTACGCAGGTGTAACGTAGCACCAGGAAGACTGTATGTATATGCCAGAAGACGACATGATAGGGATCTGGTACCGCAGTCGACGCGATACTGGCTCATGCCAACTACATGCGAGGATGCAACTGTTGCTAGAAGACTGGGAAAGCATTGTATTCTCATATCGCACTCTCATGCTACCGTTCCACACTGCTGCCTCGCCCTACGCAACACCGGGAATCGCAACAGGTCCAACCGGCCCACTACTCGCCCCGATATTCGCTTGATGCATCGTCCGCGCACCCCATTGATCCGGGTAATCCACGGCAGTATGGAACATCTGGTAGTTGGCCCACATGATGATATCCCCCTCCTCTACCTTGGGCAACATGATGTATTCTGGCTTCAAAACACGTTCTTGGATGGGCTTAAGCCACGCTCTTATCTCCGCAACGTCATCGATGATAGTGGGTTCCTCATCTTCGCTTGACCGAACGAATGCGCGCCGGACGCAGATGCCGTGGACCATGAAAGCGCGCTCGCCTGTTACAGGGTTCACCCAGACCATGGGGTAGCGCTTGATGTCTTTTTCGTCGTAGGGTCCAAGGTCTTCCGTTGATCTCTCTTTACCTTGACTCACTAGGCCTAGACCGTGAGACTGACCTTTGCAGTCACCCATCCATTGGTAAGGGTGGGGGGCGTACTCGACCCATGAGTGGTCGGCAATCTTCTTCTCTTGCTCTGTCATCATGTCGTATGTCTGTACGTTGCTGAAGAAGGCGGTCAGACCTGGTTCAGTCTTCATGGTCATGCCACTGCCGTCGTCCCAATGTATAGTCATCTCTGGAGATGTGGGTCGCTTGATGCAGCGGAGGGTGGTGAACCAGGCTGGGTCGCGGGCGTATAGCGGTGCGTCGATATGCCAGCGTTGGAAGCGTGTGTGGCCTTGCGCGTACTCTTCTTCCAGGAGCGGCTTGTCGTGCCATGCGTGTGCGATTTCCTTTTTGATGGTCGCATCTTTGAGGCCGTAGTGGTCTGATCCTTGGTAGCCTTTGCCGATTAGACGGACGTTCTCTGCGCCGGGTATGCCGACAACATCGCGTCCTCTCTGGGACTAACTTAGCGAATCGTACCACCTGGTTGGAGGTGACTCTTACCGATAGTAGCCCACCCTGTTTGTGGAAGGTCTTCACATCGCCATGGGAATGCACATGTGGTGCTTTGGGATCGAAGCGTGTGACAAGCTCCCATTGCTTGATGGGCGCGAGGTTCTTCTGACCCTTGACAACAACAAGCTTGTGTGTCCAGATCGCGTCTGAGAGCGCTTTGACGTCGGAGTCTACAATACAACGTTAGCTAATCGAGTCGCCATCCTCATGGCGCCGGTGTGCTTACCACTGATGCTGTTCAAGTCTAGGTCATCGATCACCGCTCCAAAGTTATGCTTCTCTTTGGCAGTCTTCTCCATCTCCTTCACCGTGAAGGTGGGCTCAGGGGCCAGAATACCTGGTGCCATGATTCTTGGCCGATGTCGAGGAAAATGATGACCGGCGATCCTCCTTCTAGGCGGTGGCTTCTTGCGGTGAGTTTTGAACAGAAGAAGCGAAAGTTCGAGTGGTGAGAACGCAAAGCCCGATGTCATAAGTGTCTACACCATCAGCCTTGATCTATAATCCCCACGCCACATATATGCTCAAAGTCGAGACCATGGTCATCCACCCACTCTTACTCAACGGCCATCCCCGCATTCCCATCTAAGCACTCGGTCGTTATCAACGACCCTATCTCAGGCGCTCCATACTGTAGCAATGCATCTACCGAACGTGCGGGGAATGTTTCCCTGGGAGGCGCCCTTCGCTAAGATCCATGGACGTTATCTTATCAGCAGCCAAGGCCCGGCCGAGAGTCAGCTCATGGAAGCTGCTGCACTCGGCCGACCTCGTAATCTGTGATCTGTGTGAGCGCGGTGGCTGAATAGGCGGGTCAGTCGAAAGCAGTGGGCGTAGGTTCGCATCCGACTACGATGTCGCGAGATAGCAATCGCTGACCGGGCGGCGCACTTTCAGTGCATGGCTGATAAGTGCAGTCATCGAAACGCGAGATGCGAGATGCGCGATGCGAGATGCAGTCAGCTGCTCTCGCGATCATTGCATGTGGTGTTCGCGTCATGTGAGATAGAGCCGAGCGCATTTGCGACGCGTCGAGCTCATTGCCGAGATCTCTGGTGTGAGAACGCGCTACAGCGGTTTCGCGTTGATTTGGTGGAACCGGCGGGACATGGTCGCAGAATCATAATGGCGCATGTTGTGCAGTAGAAGAAGCTGTGATGAGGTATGGAGGAGCGCTGTAGAAGCAAACCTCATTCGGAGGGCGCGGGTGTAATCACGTGATCGTAGCATGACTCGCCACGCGTCATCGATACCTGTCGCAAGCACACGCACACGACTGACATGCACAACCTTTCACGCGTCTTGTTTGATAATGTATTGCAGATACCTCATCACGGAGCTATACTCCGCGCACAAGCTGTGTCCCAACTCTACACACACTCCCCATGGCCCCTCACCCTGAAGGATGATCGCTCGCCGCAATGTTGCACTGATGCATCACACGCGGCCCATACGACTTTGGAAACTCGGTCTGCAGGCAAGACAGTGTTAGCCTATAGTGCATCACTGGATCTTCTCGCAGGAAGAGACTTACGATGCTGTGCCATAACGCGCGGTTGTACCACAGGATGACATCCTGCTCTTGATGCGGATGCGCATGTATGTTCTCGGGTTGCAACGCCGGTCGCATGAGCCTGCTTGTAGTCAGCTTCCGAATAAGATACGATAACACGCTACTTACTTATCAAGAAACTTTCTGACCTCTCCCAAGTCTTCAACGACCGTCTCTGGCCCATCCGGGCTGCTCTTGAGATGCAGCTTCAACGCGCCTTGGCCATGCACCTGCAGCGACTTCTCACCAGTCTTCGGGTTCGTCCATACCATCGGGTACACACAAACTTTGCTCTTCTCCCATTTCGGCAGCTCGTCCAGCGGCTTCTCAAGCCCTTCGGTTTCGAGAGAGTGGCCGAGACGGGTACTGTGCGCTTTGGACATCCAGACGAACGCATGTGGTGCATACTCAATTTTGCTGTTCAGGACGATGTTCCGAGTTTCCTCATCGAGTAGCGCCAGCGCACGACTACCAGCGACCATGGCTGTAGCTCCTGGCGCCATCTTCATCTGAGTTCCAGCCTCATCCTCCCATCGCACAGTCACATCTGGGCCCTTTGGTGTTCGGACGGCTAAGAGGCATCCCACACGTGGTGGAGGAATGTCATACAAAGAGCCATCGAAATGCCATTGGTAGAAACGCGAAGCACCAGCTTCGCGCTCTTCCGCCGGAATGTGCGGTGGAAGATGGAACTCTTCGTGGTCAATACCTTGGACTTCGAAGCCCGGTGGGAAGCCAAAGTGGCCTTCTGGAACGGGCCCACGTCCAAGGATATGGACTTGTGGCTGTACCGGGATTGCTGGACGCTTAGGAATGCCGTAGAAGTCGACGCCATTGTGGTGGGTGAGAAATGGGTCGTGACCATGAGCGAAACCACCGGTTGTTTCTTCGCGGTCGAAGCTGGTACTAAGTTAGATCAGGCGATTACGGCGACGTCTAGCGACTTACTTGGCTGTAAGCAGATATTGCTGCTGCGGCTTCAGCATTTGCGGCTGCTCCTTGAACACCAACAGTTTCCACTTGTGTAACGCATCGGAAACGAACTCAAAGTCTGCATCCGTGAAGTTGTTCAAATCGATGCCGTAGATCTCGGCGCCAAAGTCTACCTGGCTACCTTCCGCGTGTTTGATGGGCACGACGCGTCCGGTGGTCGTGTCGGCATGCGGGAGATCGAGAATGGGCTTCTCTGCTTTGAGACGCAGACAGTTGGTCTCTTCGGTTATGACTGCTGTGACGACCATGGTGTTGAGTAGCTGAATAGAAAATGAGTTTGACAAGCTTTACAATACGTATGTAGAGACACACGACAATGATCGCGAGATCATCGTTGAGTATATGACATTATCGGGTCTAGCTCGGTTACATACGCCTGACCCAACAGTCCCACAATGCTTGTATGGCGACATCCCGAGCTGCGCATCCTAGTGTGGGTGCGTTGATACTACTTCGGGCTCCTATCAGCCAGGCTCGGGACCTCGGCCGAGTATCCACCTCCACCACTTTCGGAAATAGCCGCATCCTCATGAGGCTGGCTATACCGCGCGCAGATACCATGCATCGTGCATACGTTCATATACACGCCGTGTTCTTACTAGGTGCAAAGTCATCCTCGCTCACGATCAAAGACTCAACTCCCATGTTCTCACGATGATTGCTCGCACTCTCACATCCTCATACTTCAAGACGACTTCGGGTACAAACACACATTACCTACAGGGTGGTGATCCTTCTGGTCCGCTCTTAGTATGTCTACACGGGCTCGGGGGCTCTACCGAAACATTCTCGCCCCTCGTACCTTTCCTACCCCAAGCCTACAACATCGTTCTTGTCGACTTTCCTGGGTTCGGGAAGACGCCACTAGCAGGTGTCACGAAAGCACTTTCAGTTGAAGGGCTTGTTTCCGACTTGGACGATCTTATCACACATCTGACAAAGTCGGAAACTGTAGCCCCGTCCAAAGTCGTCATCGCTGGACATTCGCTCGGCGCCATTATTGCTCTGCAGTATACTGCAAGATATCCACAGTCTGTTGCAGGTCTCTTGCTCCTTGGTCCTGGTAGAGCGGCTGGTCACATCCCCGCTGTACGACAGCGCATGCTCGATCTTGCGGCCGCGGTTAGGAAGGAAGGCATCAAGTATGCAGCGGATATCGCGGCCAAGTCTAATTTCTATGACGATAGGTACGCACATGATGAGCCCAGAAGAATTCTGAGACCATGCTAACAAAGAAACTGCAGCCAAGACCGAAAGGCAGATCCAGCAGCTCGAGAGGCTGTGAGGCTCGATGTGAGCTCTGCTGATTCCGAGGCCTATGCGCAAACATGTGAAGCTATCGTAGACGGTAGCCACAAAGACCCGCCTTATCAAGGCATCACATGTCCTGTAGTCTTCGTGGCAGGAGATAAGGATATGATCAGCCCAGTGCAGCGGTCGCAAGATCTCAGTACATTGGTTGGGGGGAAAAGCTGGGTGCATGTTGTGCAAAGTGGTCATCAGCCGATATTGGAGGATCTTTCTGGCGTTGAGAAAGCTGTACAGCAACTAATGAAAGCCGTCATCGAATGAAACGTATAATTGCGCAACCCGACCACTCAAGTGATGCGCAACGTGGTTTTTATAATGTATTGAGTGACGTTGCGCTAGGTACCGGCAGGTGGAAGGAACGACTGCGAGACATTACACCAATGAGAAATCGTAATTCGCTAAATACAAAAGATCATCGAAACTATTGGTACCTGCGAAGCCCGAGGCCGAGAAAGGAAATGCAGATTGCGGCTGTTCAAACGTGGTGGCGAGGGGATTGCTCTCTTCCGAGTCATATGTAGGATGTTGGTCGGTGGTAGATCCTGGTGTGGCTGCAGGACGTAGCGAAGAGTTGCTGTCGCCATTGTTGGTCTGATAGAAGTTCCTAACGAGGGTCGAGACGTCAAATTTTGAGGCGGGTTTACCGTCACGATTACGCTTTCTTCTTCTTTGGGACAAGGTCTCGTGCGACGCTTGAGCAAGCAGAGCTTTGAGAAGTCTGACGCCTCTAACCGCAATCATACTCTCTGGGCGCCGCTGCAGGATCTCCAAAACTTCTTCAACAAGTGCACGATGCTCAGAACACTCATTCTCGTTGATCTCGCGATGTAGTACATCCAGCAAGAGGGTGATGGATGCTGCGACGGCAAATGCTTGATGAATCCACAAGGTGGGGCCATCTTCCCCGACCAAGGCCTTGTACTCCTTGACGATCGTTTTGGAGGCTGCGAGACATGTTCGGCGGGTGAATGCGAAAGCAGGATTGACGAAACTGTCCAGTAGGAAGGAACGATGAATCATGATGATCTTGTGACTCGACGTAATGGCTAGAGCACGCCGCGCCCATGGTACCCACGTGGGCCAGCTCGGATCCAACGGTGCGTTCGTCATGAAAATTGGCCTTCCACGAGTGGCCAGTTCTCGAAGTCGTGCATCCCAATGCAAGACCGTTTCGTAACGTGTGTAAGGTGTATTGCATGATACGAGGCCGTCCTGAAGCTGGGGCATGATTATCGCGATGTTGCGCAAGAATAGAGAATAGCTTGTAGTAGTAGGAACGTCCGCGTCAACGGCGGTCAAATCGCTGTCGTGGCTGTTCAGCGGTGGGGTTGATGTCGAGTATCTTGGAATGACCAGGTAACTCTCCGAGAACGGTATGCTGAACCAGTCCTGGCTGCAAAGTTGACACCAAACTCTACGGCCAGTCTCATTTGCTACGACACCTCCACTGGCGTCTGGCCCTAAGCGATGGATGCCCAAAGATTGAGCAATGCGTACAGCGGTTGCGAGATGGATGCTTTGCTTTGTGCTGAACCCTAGGAGGTGAGCTGAAACAGTTGCCGTGGCTATAGCTTGGCAAGAAAGGATGCTCAATCTACTCGTATAGTCTGCGTGGTTGAGGCAAGTGAAGATAGCTTGATACCATCGTCGCGAGAGCTTCTTTCGCTCGGCCTTGTCAAATCCCCATGATTGTGCTCGCAAATCGGGTGCGCACACAAGACTAGCGGCCAGAATAGCGAACAATAAAGCTACCCATTGGAGATTCGTAGATGATTGTTCGATTAGCCCATTATCTCTATCGTAGAAATCTCGGAGTTGCGCCTGGAAAGTAGGAACGAAGTAGCTGCCATGGTACCACAACAGGCTTTCGTGGTGGTATTCTACCAACTGTCGAACTTGGTGAGGGCTTGGAAGAAGTAGTTGAAGCACCGAAAGCTGGGACAAGTCATCAAATATGGATGAACCAACTTCAATCGGAACATCATCCGCGGGTTCGAGGGACGCGACTGTGTGACAGTGAGGCTCTTTCCTTCTTCCCCAAGCGAGGAACTCCAGTACCGTCGCGGTATCTCGAGAAACAGCAGCGTCGTCGGGCTCATCTGCGGACTCATCGGGAAGCCTATCGTTTGGTGTTTCAGGTTGCAGAGTCCCGGGCGGAGTCGCAATGTTCGTCGGGCTTCGCTGGCATGTTTCGCTTTCGAGCTGTGCGACCCGCTGTCGCAAATAGTCGAGCTCACATGATCTCTGGTCGGAAGGACGCGTTGGAGAGCTTACATCGCCATGCAAATCGTCGATACCGCACGTATCTCTTTGACCTCGTCTGATGCAGTTGTCGCAGGGTACCGTCTTACTGCACTTAACTTTCCGCTTCGCACAAGCTGCGCACGTCAACCTGCTTCGCGAATGAGACGCCATGCCGAGGCGAGATCAAGCAGACAAACCGGCGCCATAGTCGAGAAGGATGAAGTTTGCAGTGATAAACACGGAGGTTGCGGGATGGTCGCTTGGAGATAGCCCTGGAGCGAACTGATAAGCGTCGGCACTAGCGCCGGCCGACCTTCGGCTCTCATCCTCCCCATTCAGGTGGCTCACGCTTGCATATCATCCCAACGCGTCTCATTGCAGCATGAACATCTCCCATCAAATGCAGCAACACGATAGCGATATGGGCAAGGAACACATACTTATCTATGATAGCGACGAGGTATGGCCCAATCACGTCACGATGAATGATAAGATCAGCCCAGACTACCCCATCTTTTGCTCAGCGCGGTGCAACGTAAGCGCAGCTGTCTATCTTTGACACCTGCCGCCAAACGCAGCACATATATCCTGACTTCATAAGATGAGGATAGCTTGCTATTTTTGTGGAAGATCGGACTCGGACGCAACCTCGAAGTACATCGTCGATCACCTATCTTTCCGTCATCGCTTTACTCGAACGGCTGGAAATATTCATCGCTAAACGACTTTTGATGAGCTCAGAAGAAGACTGCTCGAATCACATGGGCGCATAACAAAACAGAAGCCCCTCACAATGCACTTTACAGGCAGCATACGCAGTCGCAGCCACGCGGCAAAAGAGAAGATGAAGCTTCGCATAACGCAGCCATCGAGCTGGCAACTTCCAAAGCAAAACAGCAGCATCGCACCGCCCGATGTATGGACCAATGCCGATATGGAGCCAGTACCACCGGAAAAGCGGACTTGGGGCAAGAGCGCGTTCGTAACGTACTGGTTCAGTGACCTTGTTACCATATCGACTTGGAGTTCAGGGTCCGCCATTTTCACACTTGGTAAGTGTTCGATCGTCACAGTCATCTTGAGGACATGATATTGATTGGAATAGGTCTGACAGCAACCGATGCCGTGCTCATAACGCTTGTGGCGGGTATATGCAACGCTTTGCCCACGGTACTTAACGGCGCTATCGGCTCGAACCTACATATCCCGTTCCCCATCGCGTCTCGCGCCAGCTTTGGTTACTGGTTTAGCTACTTTGCCATTGTGAGCAGAGGTGTCTTAGCTATGTTTTGGTTCGGAGTTCAAACAGCCAATGGAGGTACATGTGTGACCGCGGTACGTTATACTAAGAATGGCCCGATGGATGCGTCTCCTGACATTGCTTCCTAGATTTTGAACGCTATCTGGCCAAGCTTTCGCGATATTCCCAATCATCTACCTGCATCGGTCGGTCTTACGACGGCCGGGATGATCTCATACTTCCTGTATTGGCTCATCCAATTCCCATTCCTTCTCATCCCGACGCACAAACTACAGTACATGTTCTGGGTTAAGACAGTACTGCTACCACCCGTAGCCATCGGAATGACAGTTTGGGTCGCTGTCAAAGCAGGTGGTAATGGCACTTTCTTTACACGTCCGGCCTCGGTGCATGGCGCTGAAAGGGCCTGGCTCTGGTTATCGAGCATGACTAGCATTACCGGTGGATACAGCACCCTCGCTGTCAACATACCCGACTTCTCCCGCTTCAGCAAGGATCCCACAGCGCAGTACTGGCAGATGCCGGTAATCCCTTTCTTCAAGACTATGGTCGCTCTTATGGGGATCGTTTCTGCATCCGCAGCCCAAGAGATCTGGGGTACAGCCTATTGGACGCCCCTACAAATCATCGATACCTGGGATACGCCTGGTGGCCGGGCAGCAGCCTTCTTCTGTGCTTCCATCTGGTTGCTTGGGCAGCTTAGCGTCAACATTAGTGCGAATGCCGTCTCTTTTGCCAATGACGTCACGACGCTAGCGCCAAAGTACGTCAATGTACGTCGCGGCTCCATTCTCGTCGCTTTCATCGGCGGCTGGGCGCTATGTCCTTGGATCATCGTAGCGTCTGGCAAGGCGTTCCTTAACTTCATGAGCGCGTATGCCATCTTCATGGCGCCCATGGCAGGAATCCTCTTCACGGACTACTGGCTGGTGAAGCACAGGAAGTACGACGTCCCCGCTTTGTACGACCCAAGAGGCATCTACCGATACGGTCGCTACGGTACAAACTGGCGCGCTGTTGTCGCAACGTTCGTCACCATCATCCCTCTGTTGCCAGGCCTGGCCAACAAAGTCAATCCGGAGTTGAAGCTCTCGGCGGGTCTCCAGAATCTCTTCACGTTCAACTGGCTGTATGGGTTCTTCCTGTCCATCTTCTTGTACTACTTCTGCAATCTGTTCTTTCCTGCTCATGAAACCCTCATTCCGCGCATCGTTACTGGGTTTGAGTATCTGGATGGAATCGAAGTTGACAACGAGGCTGGGAGCTTGTCGCACGACAGCGGGGCCAAAGCTATGCCTGATGCTAAAGTATCTCCTCGGTCTTCCAGCCAAGCTCAAGACTGCAGTAACTAAAGTACTGGCGCGGAACTACATCTAGAGATATGGGGGGAAAATACGTAGCATTACTTAGATATCAGAGCCCATCACTTTCAAACGCAGGATAAGCGCCCAGTCAGCGACACCAGAGAAAATACTTGAAAGCCTGAACAACGTGAACAGCAGCTGTGTGAAATCAAAACCCGAAGTCTTCCAGTTTCTTCCCATCCTCTAGCCCCAAGGTCCAAAGGTCCACGTCGATTACTTCACCACCCCACCGAATACCACGCACCTTCCTGACCCCATGGTTCGTGAATCCCAGTCTGCGAAAGAGCCTCTTCGCCTCGTCGTTCGTATCGTCAGTCAAACCCGCAATCTCCTTCGCACCTTTCTCCTCGCGAAAGTACTTGATCAGCCCTTGTGCAGCTTCCGTCGCATAT